GGAGAGGAATATGGTGTTGAGGTAGAAAGATTTAGAGAGGGGATTCCAGAGTTAGAGTTAAAATCAACATTGATCTGCAAAGAAGTCAGGAATATAGAACAGTCCAGATTCAGAGGAACACAGAAATTGTAAGTCCTGTACAACTGGAGCAGGCTTCAGAAATGGCGAGAATGAGTTCACAATGCGATCTAAATTGTAAAATTACACAATCGATGGAGCAAGGGAGTGCCATATTCAAAGACAGTGTAGGTTTCCCAACGATTGTTCGGTGTTGCAACTCTCATCCCACCCAAGCATGTCTCCTCACTGGCAGCAAGGGAACTTATCATTAATACTTCTGCATTTAGCAGTTTCAGAGTTTAATTGGCATTTACAAACTGCACAGAATTCACATTGTACCTTATAACTGTGTAATACCCAGATTCCTTTGTACCCTCTGTATCATGACTAAGTGCTATTTTAACAGGCGGTTACATAACCTAGAGACAAAAGTGCTTTTGCTGCTCCAAGACTAACACGTTATAAAAATTGTTGCCAAAACTACATTTCTGCTTCTACTGTAGTGGTACTAGTTTTTATGATTCAAAGCTACTTATAAAATTGCTTTGTTTTCACATATGACTTTCATGTTTTTATAAAAAGAATTTGTATTTATACAATGTCTTTCATGAATCTCAAAGCTCTAATGACGTATTGGTGAATGTAAAACAGGTAAATACAGCAGTTAAATTTGTGCACACCAAACTCCAACAAACAACACAATAGATTTAGTTGAGGGATAAATGTTTGCCTGCACGCTAGGAAGATGTCTCTTGCTCTTTTTTCAAACATGCTGTTGAACCTTTTCCATCCACTGAAGGGACTCAATGTTCATTATGGGCTCAAATATCTGGAGCAGGACTTGAACCTTCATGATGGCCACTGGACTCTGCCACGGGGGCCAGATAGCTCAGTTGGCTAAATGGCTTGGCATTTGGTACCAAATAATACCGATAAATGGGATTTCAAGTTCTGATTTAGCTAAAAAGGATTTTACACCTTCCTCTAAGAGTAGAAGGTAAACTATCGCTTTTTAAGAGAAAGTCAAGAAAACAGCTCAGGATAAAGCAGCAACAGATAAGAAGTTAGGGACCTGTCTTTGGATTGAGTATTCATGAATAATGATGTATTAGTAACAGAAATGGTACAAAGCCGACATGGAGAGATTATGAAGCAAAGTCCAAAACAAAATTTTCCCCACTGTAATATAGTGTCATTATAATCCTTTGGGTGAAATCTACTCTTTCTAACCTGCTAATGCTATCTTCTCAACAAATGAACATAATAATTCCATGTTCTGATCCCAGCATGAGTGCTATATTCAATTCTGGGCACCACAACCCTGAAGGTTGACCTTGGATACGGTATGATACAACTTCACCAGAATGGTACTGGTGTTTATAACTTAAATCAAAGGCATAACTTGTATTCCTTGGAGGAGAATTCAAACAATTGTATGATTGAGGTGCTTTAAAGAATTTAATAGGGTAGATAAAGAGAAACCATTTCTTCAGTAGAAAGGGCAGGATGAATAAATGTGGGAGCCTGAGGACATAATCTTAAATTTAGCGTTGCTGATTCAGGGATGAAATCAGAAAGCACTTTTATCCTACAAAGGATAGCAGAGGTCCATAATTCTCTCCAACAAAGGGAGATAGGTCAATTGGACTTTTTTTTTGTTGTTTAAGGGTTTCAAGGGAAAGGGAGCTAAGGTACTAAAATGGAATTGAAGTACATGAACCCATGTTCAAATTGAATTGTTGAGCAGGCTAGGTAGGCTGAATGGCCCTTTTTTTTTGTTCACTGGTTGTGAGACATTTGTTGCCCATGCCTAAGTCGCCTTGAACTAAGAGGCTGGCTGGGCCAATACAGAGAACAGTTAAGAGCCAACCATAATGCTATTGTTCTAGATTCATGTGTAGACCAGACCAGGTAAGGATGGCAGAATTCCTTCCATAAAGACCACTTACTTTCCAAAAAGTAGCCTAGTTTATGTAGAATAGAACAGGGCATGTGGACAACCTTCGTCTGAAAATGTGCATTGATTACCCTACTAGATATAAGTATGTATTCCACCAAATTGTTGACCAGATGCAATGTGTGAATTTGATCTCTATATACTTCATAAAGAGCTTTTGGTTTTCTTTGTTTATTGAATGCCTTAAAAATGTTGGTCACAAGTACAGTTAGTTCATTTGATTTGTGATAGATTCTCAAGCTTCAAAGTATCCAAATGTTACGTATTAAGTTGGAACCAGCCCAAAGCTACAAGAATTTGTTTGACTGCTGAATCTCTAGTTGCTAAATGTAGTGTTCAAATTCAGCAGGATTACAGGTTTGGAGGACAATTGGATTTAGGAAGGCAGGAAAAAGCAGAATGGGATAAGTAACTGTATATCTAAGACAGATCTGAAATTTGTAAATCAGTCATTACATCCTCCATGACTATTATGGTATACTATCCCTTTGTACCCGACATCTCCGTGTGCCTCAGGATGGTTGACCTCCATCAGCTCTCAGCAGATAGGACTCTGGATTAACATCACATCTGAAAGACAACACTTCTGTTGTTGCGGTTTTCAGTGCTGCACTGAAGTGTCAGCCTGGACCAAGAGTTCAGGACCTGAAATGGGGAAAGATGAGAAGCCATTGCTGAGATAAGTTGGCACACAAAATATGTGATGCTAAATGAAATCAACACTTTAATTTTCAGGATGAATTAAACAACCCATTGTCACCTTAGTTAGTCCGGAATTAATTACTCAGTAACACGTGAGTTCATCTTGCAGTTTAGATGTTAAATGGATTGATGTTTTTCTCAGTGGACTGATTCATAGAAGCACAGGAGAAGTTCTCCAGATGTCCTGGCCAACAATTACCCCAAACCAACACTGATATAATAAACTATTATCATGTTCATTTATCTCATTGGTGCCAGTGGGACTTTACTTCAATAGCTATGAAGTGCTTTTGAGCCATGAGATCATTATAATAATTATTATAAATGCAAATTATTTATTTCCTTCTGGAGTATGAGGTCATTCTTGGCAGCAAATGCTCATTTTGTTAACTTTTACAACTGGGTAATCTTAATAAGTCCACTTATGCCATTATTGTACAGAAAGTTCCATAATCAATTATATAGCAATCATTCTGTACAAAACATTAATAAATGCAATAACAATAGAGTGCTCCCCTGAATGCAGGATAAATGTCTAACTTCCCTAACCATTAGCCAAGTCCAAAATCAAAGTGCTGACGCTACAGGATGTGGGATTAGAATACGGGTGCAACCAAGGCTAGAGCTGTATTTCCTAAATTAATGACAAAAAATCATTAAAAATTATACTATCCAGTGCTTCCACATCATCAGACACAAAACAAACCAAAGAAACAAGAATCTGTTTGGTGTATATTTTAGGAAGTTCCACTGGAAAACCAGTCTATACAATTCAAAAGTGGACAGGTGCCAGATCAAGCATTGTACTTCATGGACTGCAGCAGTTCAAAGTGGCTCACCACCATCTTCCCAAAGGTAGCGATGAGCAACAAATGTTGTTTGAGCCAACAATACCTACATCCTGTGAAATAAAAAAAATCATGCAAGGACCACGATTGATTTTGTTCTGAAGTCTCTTTTTTGGTGAAACATACATTAAGTTCGCAGTGCTATGTGCCACTGGGAACAGCTAGAGTCACAAACATAATCAAGGAACAGATTAATCGTAAATGACCTGATTCTGGTTCAGGGTTTTGTAAGTAGCAGAGCAGCTACCTTGCTGGATCTATTGAAAGTCATCCCTTGAGCCAAACTCTTGTTTTTAATGGGTGGCATGGTGGCTCAGTGATTAACACTGCTGCCTCACAGCGCCAGGGACCCAGTTCACTTCCAGCCTTGGGTGACCGTCTGTGTGGAGTTTTCACATTCTCCATGTCTGTGTGGGCTTCCTCTGGATGCTCTGGTATCCTCCCACAGTTCAAAGATGTGCAGGTGAGGTGGATTGGCTATGCTACATTGCCCATAGTGTTTAGTTTAAGATAGATTAGCCTTGGGAAATGCAGGGATAGGGTAGGGGGCTGAGTCTGGGTGGGATGCTATTTGGAGAGTCAGTGTGGACTTGTTGGGCCAAATGGCCTGTTCCACACTGTAGGGAATTCTATGATTAATCAAGTTTGAAAACAGATGTTTGCTCATGATAAACATGCATCGAAAATCACCACAACCAACATCCATACACACTAACAGATAGTAGGAACTGTCGATGCTGGAGTCTGGGATAACAAGGTGTAGAGCTGGATGAACACAGCAGGCCAGGCAGCATCAGATGAGCGGGAACGCTGACGTTTCAGGTCTGGACCCTTCTGAAGGCTCTACACCTTGTTCTCCATACACACTAAGTTGGGACATTAAATCGAAGACCCATAAAGTGTCTCAAGTGGACATAAAAGTTGCATGGCATTCTTTGGAAGATCAACAGAGTTGTGGCTAGTATCTATGAACCAACGTTGGCCAACTGATTGGTCTTTTCCACATTGTTGTTTGTTGCCCTTTACATGCAGATGGTCTGCTAGCTTATCCCATATTCCAGTGATAACTTTACTTCCAAAAATATAAATTGGCTGTGGATCTGAAGGTACCATTTAAATTCAAGATCTCTCCTTTTTAAACAAAAGAAACAGATGGAGGTCTTGTTTCAGAACGAGCCCAATGGCACTGCAGGGACAACCCTGACACCAGAAGCTTGGGATTCCCTTCTATTGTGCAGTTGATGGGAAGGTTGATGATGGTCATGTACCTCAAACCTTTCAGTGCTAGCAACACAACTGGAGGAGCTCACTTCCCTGGCGGCGATGGAAGTAAATTGCAAGAAGTTCAAATTTGTGCATACACTGCACCCAGAGGATTAGGGTTTGGGTGTCGAGTCTGGAGGGGTGGGAGGGGTTCTTGTTGTAATCTCGCGAGAGGACACACTCCGCTTTATTGTTGATTAACTTTTAATCGCTCGGCGGGCCCTCTCCCCCCTGAAAGGGACATCCTCGCTTTAAGAGCCACTGACTCCCCGGCCTCTGGGACCGATGTCGTGCTGCTCAGGCCGCCGCCAGGCCCTGTGATACTCTCTGGCTGTCCGCCTGTCTCCGGCTTGCAGCCTCAGGGGTTGGGGAGGTGGCGAAGTACATCACTGACTGACCGCAGGCTCGGCCCCGGTCACAGGCCAAATCGCCCCGCTGTGTGAGGGATCTGCTACCGGGAGGTAAAGACCCGACCGGACAACAGCAGCAGGTAAGGCGAGCTGCTTGGTGCTGTGGAGGGGTGTGTTACTGAGGAAGGGTGTGGGTGTGGGGGTGGGGGGGAAGGAGGAGGAGGAGGGACAGGGCCTCGGGACCTCCTCCTCCATCAACCCGGCTTTCCCGCACGGCTCCTGCAGGTGGCTGCCCCTGGGGGGGGATCCCCGGCCCGTTTCTGATGGCCGCCGCCTCGCCCGGAGGTAAACTTCTAGCCCGAGGCCTGAGGCCTGGCGGTGTGGTGGGGGGAAGAAACACTCTACCGTGGTTGGGGGGGGGGGGAAGAAGGGCTTGTCCCCGACGGGGTTTTATTCGGGGTACCCCACCCCTCCTGGAGACACGGGGCTGGTTAATTCTCCCTTCCCCTTCTGTCCCCCTCTTCTTTGCTCTTTCCCACCCCCCCTTCAAAAAAAGGTTTTGCCAAAAAGTGACCCTGGCCCGGGTGTCTGCGCATGCGTTGCCGTTGAACGGCGGAGGTTTCCCTCGCTCTGCGGTTGCGCGCACACGGCTGTCCGCCCGTCCGCCGAAGAACGCATGCGCGTTTACTAGGTAGAGGGCAGTGCGGCTGCGCAAGAGGTCCTAGCGGCAGAGCCCTTGCAAAATAGTGAGTTCAGTGATTTTTATTTTGGGGGTGGTGTGTGTGGGGAGGGGGAAAACATCCTGAAAATAAAATCTTCTTAGGTTATTCGTTATGGTAGCACTCAGAACGGGGAAAGACCCTCTTTCCCCCTCAAACCATCCTTTTTTTAAAAAAAAACTTATCAGTCCATTTCTTCCTCTCTTGGTGGGTAGGCATCTTCCCATCCCTTAGCCCCTTCTCCTAACCCCACCCCCTCTGCTCTTGTTCCTCCTTTGTTGCCCACTCAACCAAGGTGAAAAGATTATTTTTCTTTTCTCATCATGTCCTGTCTCTTAAGTACAGGACCCCCTGGCCGTTATAAAAGTTAGAAAATATTTTTTTCTACTTTGCCCAGTATTGATTGGGGATGCTTGCATGCTCCCATCCTTTTTTAGAGTACCATACTGAAAGGCCATATGGACTGTATGAACCACTTATACCAGATAATTAAATATCAAAAGTTGAATTTTACACAAATATTTTTAGTTTGAAGCTTATTTGGCCGTCCTAATATTTTGCATGTGATTTTGGATGTCGTTTAGTACTCCTGGAATGTGTTGTAAATTTATTCCTGGAAGATCATCTAATTTTGAATTGTTAAATGTAAATGGTGGACATGTTTTTTTATTTCTATTATGAAATTGAATTTGAAAGTTGGAGTGATTTTTATTTTGATAAATATTGTGCATTTGTGGTTTATACATTTTCGGGAAAAAAGCTTTTGCTTCGTTTGTCACGTTATAGTTTTCCCATGTTGTGCTTTGTGGATCATGATTGTGTGCCTATGTTTATTGAAAGTGCCTCATTGCCTGGTTATTGGGCTTCCACAGTTGAATAATTGGAGAAGAAAACATTTTGCGTGGAAAACGTGATTTTTGGATTATAGCTGGACGCTGGCTGAATGTAATGTGGGAGTAACCTTAGCATTCATTGGACCAAGCTTTGTGTGTAAGTTGAGGCTGAAATCCAGGCTAAGTTTCATCCCACCACCATGAAAGATGGCATGCCTGTCTTTCTGGGCATTGGAGATGGCAGCATGCAAGACTTATCTATGGATTTGTTAATATTAATATTAAACATTAACACCTCTCTTATTCTGTTTAGTGTATCAGCATATTTATGAAACATTAGTTCTGATGGTCTCTCTACTTGTGACAGAGAAGTTCCTCTCTTGCTGTTTGGCAGAACAGTTTCTGATAGCTGGCCATAGCTGCAAGGCTTTATTCAGCATTGACTTAATTTTGTAAGGAGTGAATGGGAAATGCAGAATGCCTTTGTAAACCTGCAAGGTACTGCCTGATACCTGCCCTGGCCTTACTATGTTGGAGTATATTTAGACATGTTTTCATTTGTCTATTAACTTGTGTTCAATCTTGTATCTACTTGAGATTTTGTGATTCCTGTCTTTTGTACTGCAGACTGAGTCAGGCCAGAATCATTAGTCAGATTTAATTTCAGATGGCGTATGATGCACCAGATATTTTCCCTCATAATTGAAGAATTGTAGACTTCTTTCCTTTTTTGGTGTTTTAGCACAACTATTTTGCCAGCTTCTAAATTGTTATTCTTGCCTCAGTTGTATGCTTTTTAACAAATGAATTAAAATGGCCTTCAGGTGAGTTACTTGACCAGTTAAGGTACCTAAGGATACAGAAAGTGAATTAAATGGCCTTGTGATCGTATTTGTTTTTTAGCTGTCAGTAAACTGAAAAATACCTGGAGAACAGAGGTGTTCCCAGGACTTGACTTGATGGAGAAAAATAAACTTGCTAGTTATAACCTCCATTGGCATGGTCAGCTCATGCAAAGACTAATGCACTGCCATTTGATACACGTCTGTCAGTTTGATTGAGGGAAGTGGGTGGCAATGCAATGGAGAAGTGAACTTTTGTTTGAGAGGCTTTATTTCACAGTTGATTCCACAGGCTTGTTCATGAATTGTGGCTATACTGCAGTCATTCCAAAGTCATCACTGTATTCAGCCATTTTGCCCATTCAATCGTGTATATGGGCTGACCTAGCCTTTAGTGCCCCTTTTTTTTCCCATTGGTATGGATTTTATGGTGGTGATGCAGAGTTGTGTATGTCAGTTTTGTGCCCCTCAGGAGGGGCAGAGGGTGCTAAATATTTCAAGTTTCCTGACTTTGTTTGCTTTCCAAGAGATTTTGAATGCAGAACTGTTGTACCAGGGCTTGTTAATGAGCCTTAATATTCAAGATCCACAGAGACACACAGTGGAAACAATGCTGTGAGCTGTCAGTTCAGATTGTTCACTTGTGTATAGAGAAAAAGTTTTGGATCATTGAGTCATATGATGGATTCAGAATTCCTTTAGTTTATAATTTCAAATATATTTGTGACCCAATGGTTGTGTAAATACCACATCACTGCTGTGATGGCGTGATGCTGCATTTTATTTGCAGTAAAGCTGGCAGTATTAATAGCTATGTGTTCCTAGTGAACTTACTATTAGACTAAAAGATGATGTAGATATTGGAATAGATGTTAGTGCAGACGTGTAAACATTTTGACAATAAATCATGTGACCTGGCAGGAAGTTCCAGCAACTCTCTAATCTAGGGCATCAATTAAAGGCATGCAGATGAAATATTTTTCATCTTTCCTGCAAAGCTGTAAATGGCATTTTTAATATGTTTTAGTGCATTGTCATTGAACAGGTAACGTTCTATGTTCTTGTATGTTTGAAGTTCGCTTTAATAAAAGTTTTTGGTTAGTGCTGCTGCTGTATCAAGTGGCAAATGTTATTTTTACAAAAAAAGACTGAAGATTGGAATTTGCTGACAGTGAAGATTAAGTGAAGGGCCAAGGCCCACTGTTCAGAGCACCATCAAGGCTGAAGAGATAGGATACACTAAGTTCCTTTCCCTCAAGTAGGGGAGCAGTAGGTAGTGTGAGAGTGATGCCCATGACTGAATAATTGTGCATAAATTCTGGATGGTGTAGGTTTGATAGCCTGTAGGACTTTTTCTCAATCTAGATTGTTTTTGTAAGTTAGGGAAACAGAAGGAAGCCATAAGTTTCTGATCCTTGCAAAAAAAAAGGCTAAGTGACTGAACAAAATGAAATCAGTTCCTTTTTGTAGTATTTTTATTGAGAGTTTAATGTTCTGTTTGAACCACCAGCTGATATTTGGAATATATATTGAAGAACTGCTAATTTGTTCAAAACAAAAAAAGAAAGACCAGGTAATCGTAGACTAGTCTGTTTAAACAATTAGACAACATGATGCAGTGTAAAATTGATTAATTCGGTTTATTTTTAAAAATTAAGAACAAAGCAACTTGTGTACATTTTTTTTTTAGACATTGTCAAGTAAGCCCTTCTGGGGATATGGAAGTTGTTGGTTCGTCCTATCCTGAGTTGCCCTTGAAAGGGTGAGAGTGAGCTGCCATCGTGAACTGCTGCAGTCTGTTTATTATAGGTAGATCCACAATATTGTGAGGAAGGGAGTTCCAGGTTTGTTTTCTAGCATTTTGATGGAATACTGATATTTCCAATTCAGGATGGTGAGTGGCTTGGCGGGGAACTTGCCAGTGGTGGTATTCCCATTTATCTGCTGCCTTTGTCCTTCTACACTGAAGTGAGCTTGGAACGATTTAAGGAGGCTTGGTGAATTTCTGCAGTGCATATAGTACGTTGCTGCTACACAAATTTGTGGAATGTGAGTGCAGCGTATGTTTTATAATCGAACAAATTCATAAATCCTTTATTGTGCCAAGTAGAAGGATTAGTGATAACATTTAAGGAATATCAAAAGCAATCATGGCTTGGAGTTGACGATACTATGGAAACTAGTGGTCAATGAATGCACTTCAGCCAAGAGGGGCCAGCACCGGGTATCACTGTTAGGAGGGTTGCCTACCTCAAATGTTTGAATTATCTAGACCTGGGAATAATGGCACAGCGTCAATTTGCTGATGCCACAAAAAGAACTTGTTAGCTGAAGAGGACTCGCAAGCACTTGTTTGGTAAATTGGGCAGCTAGATATCTGATGGAATTTGAAAATAATGTTAAAATTTTTGAAAGTGCTGAGAGTTGACAATTTAGAATAACTTAGGAGTGTGAGTTGATGTGAGCAAAAGAATTCTAGATAAATGGAAATATCAAGTACAAAAGCCAGGTGATAGCTTTGTGTGCAATTCTTTATTCGGATAACCGTGACAATTTGGTACAAAACAAATTGCTGGAGAAACTCCGGTCTGGCAACATCTGTGGAGAGAAAACAGAATTAACATGGAGTCCAGTGACTTTTCTTCAGAGTTTGTTTTTATTTGATTTCAAGCATCCACAGGTTTTTTTTTTTAATTTTAGTTACAGTTTAGTTTCTTGTATTCAGTACCTCATCAGGGATGATACA